ACCAGCATATCGATTACATGGTTAGTCAGTTACACTCTAGCATCCCTAGTATTAGACCTAGTGCTGTACTGACAGGGCTCATACTGCTAATTCAGACGGGAAACTGGCCAGCAGGTCAGGCCTCACAGTATGGCCAAGTAGAGAAGAGATTTAGAAGTTTTCCTCGTGCAGTTAACTGGGTTAAACCCACCGCTCTAGGGGATTGAGAGACTTTTGCCTTTCCTTCACACGAAAAGTGTCATGGGGCTGGAGGTTCGTTTAACCTGGTTACGTTTGTGTCTGGGACTGGATTTTTTTCTGTTACTTTTATGCCGGTGGGAACTTTTAGAATTGGGCCGAGCTGGAGTTGAGGTTTTCGATCATAATCTTCTGGCAGACCATGGCAGTGGTTGGGCTGGCTTCCAAAGGCTAGGAACGCCTGTCGGATCGGACTCCAGAGGACATTGCCTGGCTCCAGTGTGCTTTCATTTCTGGATAGGCCCTATCTGGGAACCTTCCCTTGGGGTTTATTCCCACACTATCTGGGGAACCTGCTTCATCTGCTCCTTGGCGGGGGAGATCATCCGTGCGGTGCTACTGCTAGTCCCTTTACGGGAAAGAGGGCTCCGCACTCAGTACAGACACAAACTTTGCTTCTGATTCTCTGCCTTTTCCCCAGTCGCTTGTACGTTCAGCTGCACGATGAAATTCACAGTCCGAGACTGCAACCCAAACACGGGGGTGCCAGAGGACGATGGCTATGACGATGAATATGTGGTAAGTTCACATTTGTTTGCTGCACCTAGAGCATGAGCAGGTCCGCCAACCAGGGGAAGTGGGGGGGCGGGGGAGGACAATTGCCCCGGCCTGGTGATTCTAAAGAGCCCCAGACTCCCAGCTACTATGGTGGCCGCCAGAACCCCAGGCCCTTTAAAATCCCCACCGGAGTCCTACACTGTGCACTGGCCGGCTTTGAGAGCCACACACGTTGCCCAGGGTCACAGCGATCCTGTTGGCTCTGCTGAGTGTCTTCCTGTCCCTGTGGGCTGCTGGTTGCTCTGCCCTCATTTCCTTTTGTGTCTTCTCTGCCCCCTGCTCTTTTCTGTCCTCTTTCTGTCTGGAATCCTGCTGGCTGATCACCCTTTGCCTCATTAATGTCTCTTAAAACCTCGAGCTGCCAGGTCTTTGTGCCAGGACTCTATTTATGGGCCCTTTGTTAATCTTTGTGTGACCCTGTCCCACCCTCCCTGAACCTTTGCCTGTACTGTGCGTCGTGCCCTGTGCAGAGAGGGGTGTGAGTTGGCGTACAGAGCAACTACTCCGGCTCAGACTTTCCCTAGATTAGTGTCCCCAACTTTTGTATGTCCAGGATCACTTCTGGAATTTAAGGGCAACTGAAGATCTACCCTGCCCCACTCACTTCAACCCCCCCCGCCCCGGTCATTCACTCTTCCCCCACCCTTGCTCACTTTTACTGGGCTGGGGCAGGAGGGTGGAATTCGGCAGAGGGATTGGGGGGCAGAAGGGGAGGTTTGGGTGCTGGCTCTGGTAGGGGGCAGGGCTGGGGCTTGGAGTGCTGACTCGGAGAAGGGGATCAGGGCTTAGGCAGCTGCATGGGGGTGCAGGGGGGGGGCAGGGTGGGTTTTGGGGTGCTGGTTCTGGGGGGGTATCCAGGGCTGAGAAGCTGGAGGGGCACAGCAGACAGAGGCACCCTGGCTGGCCCTACCCCCACACTAGAGCCCTGCACAGATACAGACGCCTACTCACAGACACACGTTGGTATCCGCTGCTCCGCAGGGCGCTGCTCCCAGGGGACGCTGCGGCCCTGCTGCTCCCAGGAGCCTGCGCCAGCAGCTTCTGCCAGGGGGGCTGTAAACACGGGACCGGAGG